ACAGCTGCAGGTTCTGCGGGTTAGAACTTTGGCTTATATTTTTCAGGGACACTATTCAACCCACTACAGTGGTGAACCGATTTATAACAAAGGGTTCCAAGACAATTCAGTAGGAAAACAATAATACTTTCAACAAACGGTGCTAGAGAACTGGTATACATATGCAAAAGAATGAATTTAGACGTCTTTCTCATGCCATATACAAAAGTTTACTCCAAATGAATCCTAGAACAAATGTAAAAGATAAAACTCTAAAATTCTTAGAGGAAAACATAAGAGTAAATCTTTGTGACCTTGGGTTAGACAATGGTTTCTTGCATAAGACACCAGAAATACAAGTGGTAAAAGATATGCATAAGTCAATTTGACTTCATTCAAATTAATTTACTTTTGCTCAAAGGACACCATTCAGAAACTGGAACACCCACACAAGGGAGAAAATATTGAAAAATTACCTATTTGATAAAAGACTTGTATCAGAATATATATAAAGAACTCTTGTGACTCAACAATAGGAAAACAAGCTTTTTTAAAAATGAGCGAAAGATCTGCACAGATACCACACCAGAGAAGATATGCAAATATTAAGTAAGCGTATGCAAAGCTGGGTAACATCATTTGTCATTAGGGAATTGTAAATGAAAACAGCAATGAGATATCACCATACGCGCACTAGAATAAAGACTGGTTATGGTAAGTGTTGGCATTGACGTATAGTAACTGGAACTCTCAGACACTGACAATGGGAATGTAAACGCTAAAGGCATGTTGAAAACAGTTTGACAGGCTCTTCAAAAGCTAAACACACACCTAACCTATAAACTAACCAACCATTCATTCTCATTCCAAGGTATTTACCCAAGAGAAATGAAAGCATATTTCCATAGAAATCTAGTGCACAACTGTTCATAACAGCTTAACTTGTAATAGTCACAAACTGGAAAAGTTCCTCAGGTCCATCAACACTGGAATATTACTCAGAAGTAAACAGGAGTGAACCATTGATAAAAACAGGGATAAATCTTAAATTCCTCCTCACTGAAAGGAGCCGGGCAAAAAAACCCCAATATTTCATTATTGTATTTACTTAAATTTTTACAAGAAAGCAAACTAATCTGCAGTGATAGACATGTTCTCAGTGGTTGCCTGAGGAATGGAAGAGTGCAGAAAGAGGGGGGCACATGGGATTTCAAAGGTGCAAAAGGACACTTTTGGGGGTGATGAACATGTTCACTCTTTGGATTGTGTTAATATTTTCACGGGAATGTACATATGTCAAAACATCAAATTGTACACTTCAAATATGTGCAGTTTATTGTACATTTATTTTCCTTCAATATAGCTATTAAGAAAAATAAGAAAATGAATGAAATAAGCTGACACTTCTCCCCTTGTCTCCAGGGACACTGGAACCAGCTTTTGTCAGTAATTTTGCTTTTGCCAATTAAAATTAGCCTGAAGATCTATTAGTGACTTTTCAGTGTAAATCACCAAGGCCCTTGTGTTTATTCATTTATTTGCAGGTAGAGCAAACTAAAGAGAAAAATCAAGTTTGGTATTGTTCAAACCTCTGTCCCTGTCCAGAGATATTGAAACTCAACTCTTTCAAAAGAGAGGAGAGTTTCTGGCATTCCACTGCCATTAAGATGATCTTTCACCACATTTTAAATGTTAAAATACACAAGAAAATATTTCTTAGGCCTTTCGTGAGAAAATCTATCCAGCTTATTGGAGACAGCAATCTCAGAGAGCATTCTACTGTTCAGAGAAGCTGTGAGTGTGAACATGGATGTCTAAGCAAAAGTGAGGAGACGCTCACATGGAAATCTTCATCAAACCTACCATTTTCAACTAACTACTTTTAAGAATTATTATTTTTTTTTCTTTTTGAGGAAGATTAGCCCTGAGCTAACATGCGTGCCCATCTTCCTCTACTTTATATGTGGGACACCTGCCACCGCATGGCTTGATAAGCTGTGCAATGGGTCTGCAACTGGATCGGAACCAGCAAACCCCGGGCCACAGAAGCGGAGCGTGTGAGCTTAACTGCTATGCCACTGGGCTGGGCCCATGAATTATTATTCTTAAACAACTTAAGGAAGTTATGACTGATTGACAGAAAAGTAAGTATGGTAAGTTTTGCAACCTTAGTAATGCTTCCTTTTGTGAAACTTTGGGCATATTTTTCTGTGAAAAAAAGATTTCACCTGCTCGAATTAAAATCAGTTGTGGGACTTATAACTTACATATTTTATAAAGACTTCAAAAATACATATGAAATATCTTAATAGTAAATAGGTGGATTTATAACTAGGAATCTTAATATAAGAAATATCCAGAAATGACATCAGCTGTACCATCAACTTCATATTGTTTAATGAAAGCATCCATTCTGTGTGCATGTGTGTATGTATTTCTCCCTTCATCAATCCAAAAGACTGGTTGCAGTAATAACACTCATTAGAAATTGCTGGCTCCTTTCAAATATTTATTGAAAGATAAACAGAAATCAGTAGGTTACGTGTCACTGTCAATTAGTTTATTGAATGCTGTCTTACAATAGTGTGTGATATCTTGTAAGAAAAAAGCAAATTTGAGCATCAAGTAATGCCTGTAGCATGTTGAACTGAGTAAGTTTACATAGTGATGCATATATAGCCTGAGAAATAGGAGAAAGGTAAAGAAAAGTAGGTAGACTGCAGCAATCACTATCCGCTACTTCTGAATTTAATCAAACGTATATGTTGTGTATGTCGCAAAATTCCCTGGGGGATTCTAGTTTTCAGGCCAACTGTGAGCCTAAGTCAGCAGTTCTTCCCCAGATAAGTAACTGCCACCCTGTGGTCTTCACAGTATCAACTGGGCAAGTCATCAGATGTGGCTCTTCTTCGACTTCAGTATGAATAAAATATAGTTAAAAAACAAAGAGAAACTGTTCACAAACAAAATTGTGGTTTCAAAGGAAATCTTTTTCACTGATTTAGGATTATAAGCATTGAAACACTGAAAATGAAAACATTCAAGCTCCCATTATAGCAATTCATTCTTGATGCCTGAGAAAATTACTGTGGAGCAGCCTTGACATAAACTCAGCTTCAAAAAACCCATGAACCCTGGATTTAACACTGCCATAATTGGTAACAGTGAGGATGGAAACACGGTATCAGTGAAAATACAATTACCTATTTGAATGACCAGGGGAAAAAAGAGAAGGCGGTTATAACTTTTGTCACAACTGTAAAGACCACATCAAAATGTGACTTAATTAATAAAAACAGCTCCTCTTTAAAAGAAAAAAAGCAAAAGACCACAAAATTTTCTAGTAAAGAAGTCAGAGACACAGAAAAATTAACAAGCGTATTCAGTATGAGAGCAAAATGAAGTTAAGTACAAACAAGAAGAAATAGCTTTGTCTCTGAGTGTTTGGTAAATTTAGGACATATAAATTTATTCAGAGCATATTCTTTGGATGTTGACAATATGCGTAAAACTGTGTTACTGTAGTTGCTATCACAGTGAGAAAGAAGTGATCACAACAAACATATTCCTCAGCTAAGCACTGGCAAATTTTGTTTGTAAGGGGTGGGGCCGGCCCGGTGGCACGGTGGTTAAGTGAGCACGTTCGGCTTTGGAGGCCTGGGGTTCGGTGGTTCGGATCCTGGGTGCGGACATGGCACCGCTTGGCACACTATGCTGCGGTAGGCTTCCCGCATATAGAGTGGAGGAAGATGGGCATGGATGTTAACTCAGGGCCAGTCTTCCTCAGCAAAAAGAAAAGGATTGGCAGCGGATGTTACAAGGGCTAATCTTCCTCAAAAAAAAAAAAAAATAAGAAAGAAAAAGGAGAGCACAGGACTGGTGTGTAGGCTTAGACAGTCATCAGAATCACAGAAAACTTCCCAGGGGATGTGATGCTTCAACTGAAAATCAATGATGATTACGTTTACTCAGTGAAGTTGGGGAACACAGGTCAAAGTACACAACACAAGTGCTTACTATAATATCTGACACAAGATGGGTGGTCAACAAGTGGGACCTGTTGACACACAGGAGAGAGTGGAAGGTGGCTCACCTTGTGGAAGATTCTGGCTTCTGCTCTAGGCACACAGAAATGGACATGCACGCGATTTGTGCAAGCGGTGTGTTTGGTACTACGTTTAATATATAAGTAGATATATTTGGTAGTCAAGTCAATATTCAAGTCAGAAAAAAACCCCTTACTAGAAAAAGAAATTTAGTATTCATTAAGTGAAAGACATTATACAAAATTGTAGGAACTGTGGAAAAATAACAAGGAAAGAGTGTATAGTCATGAGTGAAGAGGAACTGACAAGTCTAAAAATCCAAACAAGCAAACGGATGACTTCTAAAAACTCGTGTGTGTAATTTTTAAGTTAATTTATCAAAGAACTTCATAAACATAAATACAAATAATTGTATTTAAAATGCTGTATTCTGCATAGCAGTTCACACCTTGACAGAGAATGCAGAAGGAAGGCAGAAGAAAAGAGAAATGTAGAAGGAAAACAAGGGGGTAAACTTCTATGCAGTCTTGTGTGTAAGGCTTAGCATGGTTCATAGGAGAAAATAAACTTATTTCTCAAAAAACAAAGAAAATAATCTAATTATAAAGGTGGAGCAGAGACTACAAGTTCTGGGCAAGACTCTTTAGCATGAGTCCAAATTACATATGATGTATTAACGTTTTGACAAGGACAAAATTATTAACCAACAGCATAACTTTAATAATGTGTTTTTGTGTGTTTTTTTAACCTAGCTCCCAATAGAGGAGAATTTTGGGGAGCCAAATGACATTTTTGTTACCCATAAAACCATTCTACATTAGCATATAAATCTAACCATATTCACAGTATGAGTTAAAATATGATGTGTAGTGTAGTGAAGGTAGATCTGATTAAATTAGAATGTATGCAGATAATATAGTCTATATAATAGTCTCTGAATTACTACATATGCAGAACGAACAGAAGTCATCAGTGATGAAAAACTGTACAGTAACAACATTCATACTGTTGGGATTGACTGAGGACCCTGAGTTGCAAGTTCTGATTTTTATCTTTCTGTTTCTCACCTACCTGCTGAGTATAACGGGGAACTTGACTATCATCGCACTCACCTTTGTGGATCCTCAACTTAAAACACCTATGTACTACTTTTTACAAAATTTCTCCTTCTTGGAGATGTCATTCACAACTGCCTGTATTCCCAGATACTTGTATAACATAGCAACAGGAGATAATATCATTACATATAATGCTTGTATCATGCAAGTCTTTTTTACTGATCTCTTTGCAATAACAGAATTCTTTCTCCTGGCTGCCATGTCCTATGACCGCTACGTGGCCATCTGCAGTCCCTTGCAGTATGTGACCATCATGAGCAGCAGAGTCTGCAGGAGGCTTGTTTTTTGCTGTTGGTTGGCTGGATTGTTGACCATAGCCCCCCCACTTAGTCTGGGGCTAAATCTGAAATTCTGTGACTCGAATGTTGTTGATCATTTTCTCTGTGATGCTTTTCCCCTCCTGAAGATATCATGTTCAGACACACGGCTCATGGGAAAAACTGTATTAATCTGTGCTGTGCTGACCCTCATTTTGACCCTTATGTGTGTATTTCTATCCTATGCTTACATAATTAAGACGATTTTAGGATTTCCATCTGCCCAGCAAAGAAAAAAGGCCTTTTCCACCTGTTCTTCCCACATGGTTGTGGTTTCCATCACCTATGGCACATGCATGTTCATCTACATGAATCCGACAGCAGAGAAACAAGTGACTGTCAATAAAGTGCTTTCACTGCTCGTTTCTTCCATTTCACCTATGTTAAATCCATTTATTTATACACTGAGAAATAAGCAAGTGAAGAAAGCCTTCAACAACTCAATTAAAAGAATTGCATCATTCCTGAAGAAGTAAAATAAAAAGTAATCAATAAAGTTAAAATAAAAAATAAATGGCTGTTAAACCTTTCTATTGAAGCTTAGAATTCTCCTTGTCTTTTAATAGTCTATATTTCAGGTGTGTTATGTTACTTAGCTCCTCCCTGGATTTACTTACATTGCTCTTTAATCAACTCATTTCTTTCCTTTGGTTTTTACTCACCTTCTTGTAGATTTGTCTTGGAAAATAAAAAGAAAGAATAATTATCATAAATTCATTTGTAGATAAATATAACTCCATATAATTAAATTTTATGGTATAATAAAATCATTCATCAGTCTTCTATAAAATTTATAGCATAACACTGCTGATTTTTATATTCAAATGTGCACAAAATAATACAAAAATTCAAGTAAGAATTGAAATTTTATGTTAAAATACTGAATAGGATGAATGAGGGCATTACGTAATAATACAAGGAACAACTGAGAGAGAAAATAATAGCATTTCTAGTACTCTAAGAAAATACATTCAAAACAGAAAAGGGGCCGGCTCTGTGGCCAAGTGGTTAAGTTCACGCACTCCGCTGTGGCGGCCCAGGGTTCAGATCCTGGGCGCTAACATGGCACCACTCATCAGGCCACGTTGAGGCGGTGTCCCACATCCCACAACTGGAAGGACCAGCAACTGAGATATACAACAGTGTAGAGGGGGCGGTTGGGGAGATAAAGCAGCAAAAAAAAAAAAAAAAACAGAAAAATATGCTGGATGAAATCTCACAAATATCCTTTTGAATATATAGCTTGAAGTAACAGTTAGTGTGTGGGTAACCACAAGTTAGCAAAGATACAGAATCATCAGAAATGAAGATAAGGGGCTGGCCCTGTGGCCGAGTGGTTAAGTTTGCGAGCTCCGCTTCGGTGGCCCAGGGTTTCACCAGTTCGGATCCTGGGCACGGACACGGCACTGCTCATTAGGCCACATTGAGGCGGCATCACACATACCACAACTAGAAGCACCTACAACTAAAATATATAACTATGTACTTGGGGGATTTGGGGAGAAAAAGCAGAAAAAAAAAGAAAAAAAGAAATGAAGATAAATCATCTCATCTATTACTTGTGGATTCCTGGGAAAGCAAAGAATGGAAGATGGAGAGATGTAAGCTTTTGAATTATGGATACAGGGGCTTAGGTTCAAATGTCCATATGGGGATGGGAGATGAAGTATCAGGATCCAAGTGGTGAAACACATGATACTGACAGAATAGCATAAAGTCAAGACTTTAAAAATGTAATTTAGGAAAAGAAATTGACCACTCCATGAAAATACCAATGTTCTCTAAGAATTTTTTTTTATTTCTTCTTGACTTATGAACTATGGATGGGGTGGGGAACCATTATTATACTTCTCTGTCTATCTGAAAGAGAGCTTTTACAGTCCAAATTCTATAAAAAATAATCTACTAATGCCACCTATAAAGAATTGAAGAGCGAATCCAAATGTTACTCTTTGGAAGTTAAGAAACACATATGCAGTGAAATAGAGATACTTCAAAACAATTCATATAAAGCGTAAAAAAGGTATACTCAGAAGAAATTAAAGAATTATTCATCCATAAATATGTTCATTATTTTGTAAAATAAACAGAACAAAAAATAAAGCGACTCCTGCTCATTATAAGATTTTTAAAACCCATAAAATTAATCCAAAGCAAGTAGAACATGGATTTTACTGAGGAAAGAAAATTAAATAAATTTAAAAAGATAAATCTAAAAGTTGATTCTTTTAAAAATTTCAAGAAAATTGTTAAATTTCTCAGAAACATGGATGAATGCAAAACAAAGAGCAAAATATATAAGGTTTCAAATAAGAAAAAGATATAAATACTAATGCAGTATAAATTTATATAACTTTATGGGTGTACTATCACAATTCCACAACAAGAACAAAATAATGTGAAGACCCAGAGCTAATGAACAAAGTTTTAGCAAAATAAAATTTAAAAATTAATTCTGTCAGGTGCACACCGTGATCGTCCTCCCTCTGTAGGGAACATGGCTGGACATACTTTCTCTTTCAGATCAGAAACCATCAATATGTGCAGAAAACACTCAATCCCAGAGAGCCCAAATAGAGTCAGAACTGGGGAGTTTTAGATTTTGCTACTTACGTAGGAATAGTACGGCTACATGAAATAGCCTCAAAAGGAGAACCCTATAGTGGTCTCATCTAGACCAAGTGCAAATGATCATTGTCACTATTATCAATAAGCAACGTTAACAAGCTGATACAAAATGTCCTGAGACTCCCCAGATAGATACACATAACATGTATGAATCTCAAAAAATTGTGAGTTGTTGCCTGTGAATTGCAGCACTGGGGGATGGGCAGGAGTAAAGGACTTAGAAAAGGGGCCCAAAGAAACTTTAGGGAATGATGGATATATTTATTACTGTGATCGTGATGATGCTTTTCAGGAAGTACAAATATGTCAAAACTTATCAAATTGCACATTTTATGTACAGTTGATTGTATGTCAATTATAACTCAATAATCCTGTTAAAAATTAAAAAGCAAAAACTTTTGACAGATTTGACTGTAAAACAAATGAAATATATGCCAAAAATCAGCATTAACATTTTTAAAGACTTATCATAATCTTAAAATACATATATAACATATTTAAATGAACAAGATATGAATAGGCATAAAAATAAAAATAATGTACACTAAAACCTAATTATGGTGGCAAATGTTTGATATGAATAATCTTATGGCTCTTATAACACTATATAAATTTTCCAAAAACAAAATAATATTTTTATCTAGAAATTTCCCTTCTCCCAATTATGCTCACACATGCAAAAATATTTGTGTGAAAATACTTTTGATAGAATGATTGATAACTGTGGAAAATAAAGAACATTGTACATTTAATTCAGGCGTTGGTTTAAAAATTGCCAAAATATTCATGCAGCTAATATCATTAAAGTGAATAATTGGAAAAAACAAAAATTTATATTATGTGATAAATTAAGATATGTTTAAATATATAAAAGTGTGTTTTTTATAGTGGCAAAATATACTTAACATAACGTTTACCATTTTGACCATTTTTAAGTGTGAAATGCATTGAGTAATTTTAAGTGTAAAATGTATTAAGTGCATTCATATTGTTGTGCAACGTTAAAATCATACATTTGTATCCAATTATAAGTTGTGGTTGCAAATTTTTATGCATTCATGAATAATACTTATGATAGTTCATGTATTTGGAGAATGAAAAATCTGGAAGGAAAAGGTCCATAATGTAAGCAGTAGCCTTATGTAAAACATTTCATTTTGCTTATCTGATTAAAATTGTCCAATGATAATAAAATATTCCTATAACAAATGATTCATATAATAAAAAATTACAATCTTCCAAATGTTTTACCAGATGTGAAAGTTAAAAAAATGAGCCATGTAATTTAAGTGATACAGTTGCCCTCCTGACCTGCGTCAAAGGCTGCTGTAGCATCTTCCTATCTCCAAGGACACAGTCCCCACTGAAGCCTGTGTTACTTGTGTTTTTCACTTCATTACCAGAAAATAAATTAATAACTCTTGATTGTAGAGCACCAAGGGCCATTTGTTTTTTTCACTTAGTGGCATTTCCTGCAAATTAACAAGTCATGTTTGACATTGTAAAAGCATTTCTCTCTCTCTCCTGATGGTTTAAAATATCATCTCTTCCCCGGTGGAGAGAGTTCCTCAGCCCTTAGAGTAATTTATTGTCTTTTCAATGATGGAGATAGTAAGAACATATTTGGAGACTTGTAACAGCATTAAGCTCATCATAAGCAAGTCTGTCCAACTTGTTTGAGACAGAAAACAAAGGGAGCTCTATGCACTCCTAGACATGCCAGTGAATGTGAAGACATAAATACTTCTATAAAAATATCACTTTAACCTTGTAGTCTTAATATTGCCATGTGTAAACCACCAACAAAAGTCTGGTTTACCAACAAAAGAGTAAGTATGACAAAGTTTGTCGCTTTGATTGTAATTCCCTTTGTAGGATCTAAGTTATATTGTCTTTGGTAAAGAAAATGGATTTCAGAGATCATTTATATATTTTAATGCATTTGAGATATATAAATATGAGATGTCATTTTTTAGAATGAATTTTCCTTCTGTAGATAAATGTCATCAAGGGTGGTTTTTATGCATAAGATATGTAAACAAATCTGTGTCTAACTTAATGCAAGACATATTCAGGGTAACTTTGCATAGACAGTCAACCTCAAATTAAAAATAAAGTGTCTTCGTATATGTAGAAGTATATAAGCAAGCCCTCGCCATTCTCTTCCCCCCCCAAAAAGAATAATATAATGACTGAAGTGAGAGCATCTTGCTGCAGGTGACTTTGTTCATTTTGAACATTTCCTTGAAAGATAGAATAAACAGACAGGCATCAGTTTCACTTTAGCGTGACTCTGTTTATTAACTTCTGTTATCGAGTAAGTTGTAATATCTTGGAAAAAAGCAGCCATACTTTGAGAGTTGAATATGCTCAAAGTTTGGAGAGTTGAATATGATTTCACAGTGATGCACATATCATCTGACAGTTTAGGAGAAAAGATGGAAGGAAGATAGAGATATATAACCTTCTATATCTCAATTTTATATAAATACTTGATTCTTGAATGAGAGATTAAATTTCCTAAGAGATTTCTAACTTTTGAGTGAGCCGTGATCCTCAGTGATTTTTCCAGATATTGGGGAACTTTATGAACTGGATAAATCGTCACACGCAACTCTGCCCCAACCTCAGTAAGAAGAGAACAAGTTAAAGAATAAAGTGTGAATCTGCTCATAAAACAAACTAAGGACACAAGGGGAAATATTTTCTATTAATTAATCTCAGAAAACCTCAAGATTTAAAATAGCAATTGTTTACTAGAAACATTTTGGGTTCCTATTGGTATAGGATCAATGAAGATAAAATAATTCATTGACTGGTAGATGAAGGGGGGAAAAGAAGGCAGTCATCACTTGTGTCAGCAGTAGAGGTAACACACATACTCAGTAAGGGTAATGCACATACTCAGAAAAAAATGTGGACTGTGTATCAGGGGGTGGGGAGCAAGCAGCAGGGCTTACATTTGTTGTTAGAATCAAGCACTCTTAACCTAAAAACATACCAGCAAACAAAAATCTTCTTTTGGAACAAAGACTTCAAGTTTTGCTCTAGAGTCTGTAGAGTGGACCCAAGTTATATTAGCATTTTTTTAAAAAAGACCCAAAGTGTCAAGAACATACATGAAATCAAGGGTGAAATTTTATGATTTAGTTTCTGAAGACGGAAAAATTCTTGAAAGCTGAAAAACATTGCCACACATAAAGTTACACCTCCTGAGGAATCTATTTAGTCACATGGGAAAATCCTAAACACAGGATAGACATTAAATGTAAATATATATGCAATATATATAATTACATATGATGAAATATAAAAGCCTGAATATATTAAATTTTAGGACAGTTAAAATAATCTATAATCCATAAGAAAATTTCTCTGAATATCACAGACAGATTGGAGAAAAGTCAAAAGTCAGTGATGAAAAACGGTACCATAAGAACATTCATTCTGCTGGGACTGACAGATGACCCTGAGCTTCAGGTTCTGATTTTTATCTTTCTATTTCTCACCTACTTGCTGAGTGTAACTGGAAACCTGACCATCATCACACTCACCTTTATGGATTCCCACCTTAAAACACCCATGTACTTTTTCTTAAAAAATTTCTCCTTCTTGAAAATCTCATTCACATCTGCTTGTATTCCCAGATACTTGTATAGCATAGCAACAGGTGACAAGGTCATTACCTATAATGCTTGTGCCACCCAATTGTTTTTTATTGACCTCTGTATAGTAGTGGAATTTTTTCTGCTGGCTGCCATGTCCTATGACCGCTATGTGGCCATATGCAAACCCTTGCATTATGTGATCATCATGAGCAGCAGAGTCTGCAGGATTCTCATCATCTGTTGTTGGATGGCTGGTTTATGTGTAATAATGCCACCACTTGGCCTGGGTTTAAATCTAAAATTCTGTGACTCTAACAGGATTGATCATTTTGGCTGTGATGCATTGCCCTTAGTGAAAATCTCATGCTCGGACACATGGTTCATAGAACAGACAGTTATAATCTGTGCTGTGCTGACCCTGAATATGACTCTTACTTGTGTAGTTTTGTCATATGCTTGCATCATCAAGACAATTTTTAGATTCCCTTCTGTTCAGCAAAGGAAAAAGGCCTTTTCTACCTGTTCTTCCCACATGATTGTGGTTTCCATCACCTATGGCACATGCATTTTCATCTACATGAATCCAACAGCAAAGGAAGAAATGACTGTTAACAAAGTAGTCTAACTGCTTATTTCTTCTATTTCACCTTCATTGAACCCATTTATCTATACCTTGAGAAACAATCAAGTTAAGGAAGTCTTCAAGGACTCAATCAAAAGAATTGCCTTTCTCTCAACTAGGTAAAAGAAAATAATATTTCTAAAACATCTCAAAAAAATAAGGATAAATGGCCCAGACATTTTATTTTTAAAATTCATCATCTATTCTTTTTCCTTGAGGACATTCTTACGTATTTAGAAAACTCAAGAAACTCTAATAGGACACAAGTGGAATTAATAAAAGAATTTGATGTTCTAGCCGAAAAAATGCAAAATATTTAAAACTGAGTAGACTGCAACAGCAATAAATAAGAGGAAATCAATTAGAAAATATTATTTCAGTCATGTGAGCCATAAAAATGTAAGTACCAAGACAGTAATTTCTTTTAGATTTCTTTTTTTATTGAGGTCACATTGGTTCATAACGTTATATAAATTCCACATACACATTTTTATATTTGAGTTTCTGTGTAGACTGCATCGTGGTCACCACCAATTGTCTGGTTTTTATCCATCACCATACATATGTGCCTCTTTACTCCTTTTGCCCTCCCCCTGGCCTCTTGCCCTCTGGTAAACATCCATCTGTACTCTGTATTTATGTGTTTGTTTGTTTGTATATCTTCCACATATGAGTGAAGTCATACCATAATTCTCTTTCCCAAGAGAACAAATTTAACGTGAAAGTAGAGAGTATATAAAGAAATTAGAAAATTTCTTAAAATAACATAAAATATAATTAGAACAAAAGAAATTGAATCAATATTCTTGGTTGGAAAATTTTCATATGAGCATGTACATGTGTGTATGTATAGATTATTTATGTATTGTAGAAACATTTATTTATGTTTTGGTATATAGTCACTGAGCCCATAGAGTATTAAAGGAAGACAAAATTTAATGCAGGTTATCTAAAGCAGAAACTAAGTGCTACAATCAGAAAGAAGAATGGGTAGACCAAGAAAAGGAGAAAAATCAAAATAAAACATCGATCATACAATCCCACTCATAAGTGAGGGCTGGGTATATATATTTGGTTTAAATAAAGAAACTTTTTTTCAAATAGACTTAGATCTACACAATGATAGAATATCAAATGTCTGTTTCTCCGTGAAAAAAATTAAGTTGCGGTCTATTTTATTAATACTAGTTCAGTAAAAATAAACAAAAATGCAAAAAAGAAAACCTATTTGAATGTATAAATGTTACACATCATACAACAAAATATTATTTAGCCATAAATAAGCAGGAAATCATACCATTTGCAACAACATGGATCGACTTTGAAGGCTTTATGCTAAGTGAAATGAGTCAGCCAGAGAAAGACAAATACTGTGTGATCTTATTTATGTGTGGAATCTAATTAAAAAAAAAGACCTCATAGAAAAAGAGATTAGATTTGTGGTTGCCAGAGGTGATGTGGGGGTAGGGAGGTGGAAACTGGATGAAGGTGGTCATAAGATATAAATTCCCAGTTATAAGATAAACAAGTCCTGGGGATGTAATGAGCAAAATGATGACTATAGTTAACATTGCTGTATGACATACTTGAAATTTGAACAAAATGATGACTATAGTTAACATTGCTGTATGACATACTTGAAATTTGTTGAGAGTGAATCATAAGAGTTCTCATCACAACGAAAAAATCATTTTTTACTTTTTTCTTGCATTGTATGAGATGATGGATATTAAATAAAATTATTTTCATAATACTTTCAGAATATGTAGGTCAAGTCGTTATGTTGCACACCTTAAAATTATACAGTGTTGTATGTCAATCATATCTCAAAAAAGCTGGACAAAAAGGAAATATAACATTCTCATCACAAAAAATTATAAATATAAAAAGAAAAGCACTCTAAACCCAAAGCAAGCAGAAAGAAAAAAATAAAAAAGATGAGAGTGGAAATAAATGAACTAGAGAATAGAAAAATATTAGAAAAAATGAAACAAAAGTTGGTTATTTGAAAATATCCATAAAATTGAAAAATATTTATTTGGATTGAACAAGATAAAAAAGAGAAAAGACTCAGATTTCTAAAATCAGGAAGAAAGGGACATCACTAAATCTTACAAGAAGAAGAACTATGAGGAAGCTCTAAGAGCAATTATAAACTTGTTATGTATCCTAGGTGAAATGGACAAATTCCTAGAAAGACATCAACCACTAAAATTGACTCAGAAGAAATAGAAAATTTCAATAGATTTATAACAAGTGTAGATATTGAATTAGTAATCAAAAAACTTCCCAAAAGCAAACAAAGGGCCTAGATGTCTTCAATTGTGAATTTTACCAAACGTTTAAAGAACAATCAACACCAGTCCTTTGCAAACTCATGAAGATAGTAAAAACCACTTTCCAGTTCATTCTACAAGGCCAGTATTACCATGACCCCAAAACCTGACAAATATGTGACAAGAAAGAAAACTATGGACCTTATGAATACATGTTCCTTATCAATTCAGGCCTGAATATCATCTACAAAATACTTGAAGGCTAAATCCAGCACAACCCACACGCAAAATGATTATACACCATATATGATGAAGAAGGATGCATCCCAGGAATACAAGATTGATTTACCATCCAAAAATCAACAAATCTATGACACTATATTAATAGAATAAAGAACAAAAGCCACATGATCATCTCAAGAGACACAGTAAAAGCATTTGACAAAATCCAACACCAGTTCATGATAAAAACACTCAGAAAACTAGGAATAGAAAACAACTTCTTCAACTTTATAAAAACATCTACTAAAAAGTACCAGGTAACCTCATCACTTAATGGTGGAAGATTGCTCTCCCTCTAAGATCGGAAACAGTAAAAGGATGTCTGATTTCTCCACTTCTATTCAACATTGTACTGGAGAATTTTTTTTTTTTTTTGAGGAATGTTAGCCCTGAGCTAACTACTGCCAATCCTCCTCTTTTTGCTGAGGAAGACTGGCCCTGGCTAACATCCATACCCATCTTCCTCTACTTTATATGTGGGACGCCTACCACAGCATGGCTTTTGCCAAGAGGTGCCATGTCCACACCTGGGCTCCAAACCGGCGAACCCTGGGCCATGGAGAAGTGGAATGTGCACACTTAACCACTGTGCCACTGGCCCGACCCCCGTACTAGAGATTTTTAATAGGGCAATTAGAGAAAGAAAAAAGAAATGAAACAAAAAGACACGAAAAGAAGAAACAAAACTATATTTGCAGACAATATAAACTTGTATATAGAAAATCCACAAAATCCACAAAACATTATTTGAGCTAATAAACAAGTTCAGCAAGTTTGCAGGATACATGATCAATAACAAATATTATTATCATATTTTTTGAGGAAGATTGGCCCTGACCTAACATGCATGCCCATTTTCCTCTATCTTATATGTGGGATGCCTACCACAGCATGGCTTGATTACTGGTGCGCAGGTCCGCAGACCAGGACCTGAACTGGTGATCCCCGGGCCCCTGAAACAGAACTCACTAACTTAACCTCTGGACCACCCAGCTGGTCCCAATAACAAAGATTATTTGCATTTCTATATACTAGCAGTGAACAATTTGAAAATGAGAGTAAGAAAACAATTCCATATTCCATGACATTAAAAAGAATATTCTGAAATAAATTTAACAAAATGAGCATAAGATTTATACACTGAAAACTAGTTATAAAGATTATTGAAATAAATTAAAAATATCAATAAATGGAAAGATACCCCATATTCACAGTCTGGAAGACTTGATATTACTGAGATGCCAATACTCCCCAAATTAATCTATAGATTCACTACAATCTCTATCAAAATCTCAGCTGCCTCTTTTGCAAGATGTGGCACACTAACACTACGATTCATATGGAAATGCAAGGGAACCACAATAAGCCAAACAATCTTGGAAAATAAAAAATTGGAATACTTACACATTGATGTCAAACCTTACTATAAAGGGCTAATCAAAACAGTATTCTGGTTAGGTATAAATACATAGACCAATAAATCAGAGTTAAGAATGCTGAAGTAAACCCTGACATTTGTAGTCAACTAATTTTCAATGAGTGCCAAGATAATCGAATGAAGAAGCAACAGCTTTTTAATAAATGGGGCTGAGACAACTGAATATCCATACACAAAAATATGAAGATAGACCCCTACCACACAGCAAACACAAAGGTTAACTCGAATTGGACCAAAGACCAAAATGTGGACGTTAAAAATATAGAACGCTTACAAAAGTACACCAAATCTTTGTGGTCTCGAATTAAGCAATGGTTTCCTGGAAATGACACCAAAAACACAAATGGCAAAATAAAAAGATGCATAAATGGGACTTCGTCAAAATTAAAGCTTCTGTGCTTCAAAGAACACCATTGAAAAAGCAAAAGGCAGCTCATAGAAAGGGAGAAATATTTGCAAATCCTATATCTGATCAGGGACTTGTACAGAGAATATATAAAGAACTCTAACAACTCAATAATAAAAAGACAACTCAATTTTAAAATAGGTAAAGAATTTGAATTTCTACAAAGACATTTCTACAAGTAAGATATAGAAATGGCCAATATACACATGAAAAGATACTCAATATCCTTAGTCATGAAGGAAATGCAAATCAAAACACAATGAGATGCCTCTTCACACCTACTGGGACGGCTAAAGCGAAAGGGACTGAGGAAATAAGTGTCAGCAAAGATGTGAAGCTACTGGAGCAATCTTTCTTTGCTGAATATTCATAATATAGTACAGCAAGTTTGAAATACAGTTTTATAGTTTGTCAAAAATTAAACATAGAGTAACCAAATGACTTTGCAACTTTATTCCTTGGTACATGTCAAAGAGAATTGAAAATATATATACACACAAAACCTTAATCCTGAATGCTTATAGTAGCATTATTCATAATAGCCAAAAAGTGAAAACAACCCAAATATCCATCAACAGATGAATGGATAAGCAAAGTGTGATATAGTAACACAATGGAATATTATTTGGCAAAAAAAGGGGTGAAGAACTGATGCATGCTTCAACATGAATGGACCCTGAAAACATTCTGCTAAGTAAAAGAAGCCGGTCACCAAAGACCA